GTACAGAGAATTTGAGTTCTGCAGCTAAATCGCTCCTACGGCATGATGGAACAGCTTCAAAAACAAAGAAAGTACATTCGCAAGTCGTTCATCCAGCATAGTAAACTAGTTCAAAACGAGAAAGACGTCGAAAAGGCCTTGCCTTGCTCTACAGCGGGATCAAGACTGAAAGGGTTTCACTCAGTAATGAATCGAGTTTTCAGCATTGTAGACGACCGAAAAAACGGAATCCAGATCAAATGAACTATATCTGCAATGAATTACTTCAGCAAAAAAGAGAACTTTTGAAACAAAAGAATGATGACAAAGGAGTCGAAACGCCTAGCATCTAGTGCCAATAGGCTCTCGCTACGCTCCAAGGACAAAATCTGACACAGTGCCCTTCAGCTGCATTAGCGGCAGTTGGCGCGAAAGCAGCTACCGGCTGCAAAAGGACAACCGGCGCGGTCCCGGCGCGGTCTGAAGGCTACCTAAAAGTCAAAAGTACAAGCTGATGCGATTATTGGAACTTTCAAAAACTGGGCGTCAAACGGGTCCACGCGGCTTTTGGCCGACCAACGTGGGTCGGGGATTGTACTTTTTGCGAAGTGTGGATTCGCTTGAGATGTGGACGCGCAGAGAATTAAAACTACTAAAATTGAGCAAAATTTCTATTTTAAGTCACCGCCAAAAAGGAGTACTTGCGTAGATCATCATTGTCAAGTTTTCATCTCATTATTTGCGAAGATTTCTGCTCAGAAATGTAGGTGACGGAAGTAAGTATCCTTTGTGGAAATTACTCGCCTATAATAGCAAGTAACTGACCGAAAATCTCTTTTAATCTCCCACGCAAAAATTTTCTCTTCCCAATTTACCGCTTCCACATGCAAAAGTTCATGAAATGAGTAGTTGTGTACAATTCGTTCATGATGGTTATACCGCACCAGTGCGTCACCTCTGCTTCGCAGAGGTTCGCACTGGCTCTACTATCTATGTGCCTTACTCATTCTCGTAAAATCGTGGCACTGGAACTCACCGCGCTATGCCGGCTACCACGAATAGAATGTAAACAACCACTCATTTAGAAAGTTTTTTCACGTGAGGTTGGTGATTTCGGGTGGATGAAACTTTTCGCAGGAAGACAAACGCAAATTTGATTAGGTTTTCGGATTTGTCATGACTTGATAGTCACCATAGAGGTAATAGTAACCGTGGGCTATATCTCTGTGCGAAAATCTTCTCAAACGCTTAGCTAGAACCTTGGCAAATTGACCATTTACACAACCAATTCGTTTTGGCGCCGTTTTCGTTATGTAGTAAACTTTCAATCACTTTTCTGGCTAAACTCCATCGCTTGCACATTTGCTTACCAAACTCATCCACGACTCTGCAAAAAGTGGTGATACGGACCGAATTTTGCGGTACAGAAGCCAGGTGTACCCGTTTGGCGTGCAATTTCTGAGGGATCCATTCAACGAATCTACTCGTGCTTTTGCATATTGGGCTTCCATGAAGGTAGCATGCGCTATGCAAAATCTGAGCTTAGAACGTTTGCTGGAACCACGCTCTACGAATTTCGTAACGGACAGACAGACACACACACACACGTACAAAAAGACGTAAACAACCCTTAGCCCGTTATTATAAGTCATGATAGTGAGTTTCAAAGTTATAATCATGCGAGCAAGAGTAAGGCACATAGATAGAGGTGAAAAACATATTTCTAATGCAAATTGGAAGGCGTTCACTGGGCCCATTCAAATCCATTCTTTTTTCATCGAGATAAAGGATTATTTTGCCTTTTGATTCCATAAAAAGCAATCAAAATGTCATAAGATCACATTTGGAAGCTTGCGTTAAGATGCAATTACAGTTCGTCTCATGACTTCAGAACTATTCTGATTTTAAATCTTGACACCAGAGATTTCAAAGGATTTGCCATTGAAACTATGTCGGTAATCCTTTCGAGGTTGCACACATTAGAAATAGTTTATCAGTCTATCACATGCAACAACTTAGTTAACATTATTTCCTGATCACTACTCCCTACTTTCAACTTCATATCCAAAAATTTCACTAAAAAATTCACTTGAAATTTTTCACACAGCATTTTTTTTGAGATTCTTCAGCTAATGATGAATTTGGAAGGCTCAGTTTTTAATAAAAATAGAACTCGAGGTATGAAACAGAGTAGTTTATCTAACAGGTAGGCGTGCTACTGAAAAATGCACATTTCAATACTGATTCCAAATCTGTCCTTCGTAGCCTTGAAAGTTAAATCCAAGAAGAGTTATAAGAGTTTGTTTTCAATGGATGCCCTCTCCAAGTTCTCCTGGATCTTTGCCAAAATCTTCTCCTCAGCGCTCGCGCTCCTAATTATCTCCTACGGCTATAGGCGGCAGGCCTTTGGTTCCTCCTGCACCGCATCCGTGCGAGCCTCTGCGAATCAGAGATAAAGCATTGGTGTTTCCATAAGACACTAGTCAATAAATGTGCTATAGCAAGTAACGACGCCAGCCTAAATTGTCGGCGTAACGCAATTTCAGTCGCGACGCGATTTGGCAATATTCCAACTGTCCATAACTCATTGTAGGTACTTTTTGAATGTAAGGGGATTCTCTCAATCCACGTAAGTTATACACACTATGCATGTGCAGTTTGCTAGTGTTGGATCCGAGGACTTCTGGCGAATTGCCAAATCGCGTCGCGACTGAAATCGCATGTAGTTATGCCCGGGCCTTAAGAAGAAAAGGCGTTCTTCGAGATGTTTTGTGCAATTGCGTACTATGTACACATGAAAATCTACAAACATATCTGACATTTACCCATTTTCCCTTCACATAGATATTACTTCTAGCTAATGATTTATACTCATGTTAATATTGTGATATCAAATATGCCATACTTCCAAATTACCCTTCTTATAGATTTTGATATCATACTCTTGCCTGGTAAATAGATCTGGAGTGTCTCCACAGACAGCTGTCTCCACAGACACTCGGTGTAGCTCTACGGCGGCGAGATAGCAGCCTGCATCAGTGTTGCCGAGCCTAGTGCCCGAGTAGCTGAAGGGAAAACAAGAAAGGAGTCAGATAAGAAGATTTATTGTTTTTTGATCTTGCAGTATAATTTACGGTCTCATGGCTTTGCTTGACTATAAGAATCAGAACTCTTGGCTAAGTTCTTATCAATTTTTGCGGCTCATGTAAATATTTTTTCCGGTTTCCACCGGTTTGGTTTTTATTTTTGTTGTTCCTAAAGACCTTGGCGAAGCACCAGCAGCAAGAGTGTGAGTTTTGTCAGTTGTAGTGTTTCAAGTCAAAAATTGCAGAAGTTCGCTGCGGTCTACTCTCATGTCATTGTGCCCGTGAACACGGCCACACCAGACTCCTTTGATTCGCTCGAAAGAATCTATGAGATGATAGACCAAACTGCGAGGATAAGAGGGTAAAGCTCAGTCTCAAAGCCGAACAACACAATGAGGTCTGAACTAATCAAGCTAGGTGGAAAACAATTACTCACTGAGGCAGAAGTATTTACGACAAGATTATGTAGAGCGGACTGCAAGATCTTTATATCTCTAGTCAATTATTTGGAGCGGCCCATTATCGAAAAAAGGGCTAGGATGATTAGTGGTGGAAATCAAACCAAAACTTCTACAGGTAGTTGTGTCTAGCATGCTGTGTGCTCCTCTGTCACTTGTATAAATTCCAGAAAATAGGCTTATACAGCAGCACAACAATCAACTAGCTTTACGATAACAGGCAGGTAGGTACGTGCTCATTATTTTTGCAAAATACACAGACGAAGAGTATGAAAGGTTGCATCAACGTTTTCAGAGTACAAAAAATTGCTGCATGATCATTGCAAGTTCTGAAGCACGGGATCGAAATCTCTGCAGAACATTGTCCTGTGCTCGTATCGCCTAGGCCCCGGGCAGACTTCACGCGATTTGATCGTCGCGATTGAGTCGCGACGAGACAACTGTTACAACATCATTCCATGCCGATCAATTTGCATTCGGTTGTGATACTTTTCCAGCCCGAAATTTTTGAATGTGAAATGAAAATGAATGGAAATCTTGGCGATTCGCGACGATTAAATCGCGTGAAGTCTGTCCGGGGCCTTATAGGCCATGATGAGCGCAAAATTCATATTCTAGTTGATGGGAGGTGTGATCTCGGTCATTCGTCGCTGATGGCAAGATTTCGCGCCTCCACGCCACTAATGGCAACGTGGATTGCTGGGCCGGCAGAAATAGATGGCGCATTCCCGCAACGAATCCGCATCTCCAACCTTGGCGGAAACTTTTCCATTCGTCAAAATGAAGGGCTTGATCGCAGGTACTTTAGAATTTAGGCAGAGGATTTGCTGAGCTGCTGCATTCGAAAAACAGATTGTGCATAATGCAGTTTGCATTTATTCTTCTTCCTTTTGAGAAACGAGCATTCTTCAAGCCATCGCCACTCGATCTGGAATTTGCCAGCTGCCTCTGAATTTGACACTGACAGGCTGCAAAAACGTAGTGTCTTTGGAATCCGCCGATTGTTAAAATGCCCTCCATTTTCTATGCATTGAATGCGCTTACGATAAAATATGGAAAATTGGAGAATTTGTTGACTTGCGTCGCGACTTGAATTGCGTAAAATATGCTCTTGCCTAAGTGATGTACAGGGCTTATCAAACGCAGTGTCGCTTGCATCAACCCACTCCCGCGCTGGACTCTGTATCTCTTCCGCGAAAAAGCTTTCTAATCACTTCCAGTCGACTGAGGCTCCGCCTTTCCCACGCTCGCCCTAGGAAAGTGATCAGAGAGCGTGTTTGCGGAAGAGATGCAAAGTCCAGAGCGAGAGTGGAGATGCTGATGCAAGCGACACTGCGTTTGATAAGCCCTGTAAAAGCATTCTGGCCTTAAGTACTTAATGTGAAGTCATTTTATCGTTTATATACAATGATAAAGATTCATACTACAGGTGCTAAGCAAAATGAAAAAGGAACGAACTTTTCCACCTCAAAATATTATGTTAAAGTCTTTATTTTGGTTCGATTTCGTTTTCATCTATTCAGTTCCCACCAATTTTACTTGAGTTTCGCCGCCATATTCTCCTTGTGGCACGCCGGTGACAAAGCTAGCTTTTGGATCGTTTCCTGTTGGAGCAGCGGCAAATTGTATAGTCATAGTTTCATTGGTCGGCTTTCCGGGCTGAGAAGTGGTTTTCGACTCATACGTTGGCCTTCAAGTTTTTAACTACCTTTCTGTAAAGTGTTACTTCAATTTTTCCCCACTCTGGTACAAAACCATACATCTCTTCGTCTTTTGCGTAGAAAGAGGAACCAGGTGGAAAAACAAACTGCAAAATTCGCTGAGCTCTTGTGCAGATACAATACTAACCAGTTTGCTAACCTTATAAGCAATTCGTTTTATAGTATGATTGGCAAGTTTTTTCTTGGATCCGCCGGTCGTCACGAATACAGAAGTTCGCATCGGTTCGAAATAAACTGCATCCGCCATCGTTAGTGCTTATGTTAAAAATGAGGCTGCTGACCGCCCCATGGCTTTTATAGTTTGCGCGTTATCGTATCAAGTTTTATTCATACTTTATGCTCATTTCACTACTCTCTCATTAACTTCGATACTTTGCTTCAGACTTGAAAAAAAGACGTTTTGGTATTCGCTGTCTTTCATATTATAATTATGCGCCAATTCGCTTTATGAATAATACAAAAAAAGGAAATTTTGAGACTCTAATTCTTCTTAGGCGATGCGCTTTTGGACTTGAGTTGTCCCAAATCCTGGTAATCCTCAATCTAGTTTTTCGGTTTGCGCGCATACAATCAAATCATTTCATATGATTTGTGTCATTACACTTACTGTTGACGTCTTTGGCGTTCCCATCCCTGGATTCAGGGAGGGGGCCCTCTGTCAAGTAAGTGTTTTCTGTGTTATTTCATGTTTTCTTTATCTTCCATATGATGATGTAACTGATAACAATCGTTCAATCTTTTGCGTTTTCGCGATTGCAGATCAGGATGAGGACGCCAAAGATGGACTGTATGTACAATACACACGTGATCATATAAAATGACTCGACTGTATGCAAAAGGATTATAATTAAGAATTCCATTGCACCTAAAGAGTCGAGAAGTGATGTGGCCGACTACTACAAAATGCCTTTGCTAAAATATGACCTCTAAGGCCCCGGTCAGACTTCACGCGACTTAATCGTCGCGACCAAAACGCCAAGATTTCCATTCATTTTCATTTCACATTCAAAAATTTCGGTCTGGAAAAGTATCACAACCGAATGCAAGTTGATCTGCATGGAATGATGTTGTAACAGTTGTCTCGTCGCGATTCAGTCGCGACGATCAAATCGCGTGAAGTCTGCCCGGGGCCTAAAGCCAACAATAATCTTCTTTCTCATCTGAAAAGCTCGAAACCAAAACTCTTGTTTTTAGCAAAAAAAACACATGCCCCAGGAAAAGTAATTCGTCAGCACTCTATACGATTACTAGCTGTCTTACCCAGCTCCGCCCGGCCCTGTAAAACCCTATGATAAAGTCCTCATCTCTATCCCTGTACAGCCTTTCCCTGTGCCCACGTCTACATGCCAATTCACTATTCCCGCTGTTTAAATAATCAGCATATTGATCACTCCCCTATGCCAACTCCCAGCCCCGTAGCTGAAACTTTGCGAAAAAATCGGTAAAATCGATAAAGGTAATGGACGATTTTGAAAATCAAAATTGGATTCGTAATCAGCATGCTCGATTACCCCTTGTTCCAACTCCCAGCCCCATAGCTCAAAGTTGCAAAGGAAATCGATAAAAATCGATAAAATCGATATCGATCAATGACGAAAAGTAGCCTATGACATCCGTCCGGCCCCGAAGTGTATGTGTGCAAAGGTAGGTGCGGATCGGTTCAGAAATAAATTTTCTATTCGGAGCATACGTACACACGGACAGACATACATACAGACAGACAGACGGGCAGACAGACAGACGGACATACAGACAAACAGACGTTCAGCTTTATGTATAAGATTCAAGAAAAACCGCGGCCTTTTGAATGCGTTCAACACGTAAAAGTATCGAAAATTCCATGAAGCTGATTTTTCAAAGCAAGTCAAACTTGGATAGGTTGCATAAATAATGTTGAATAACAAACAAGTATCAATTCGCAAAAACTCAATAAGTTTTCATGTTTTTGTTACAGGTTCGTGTTTCATGACTTTACCAAAAATCAAGACCTTCGAAAAAATAATTTTTCGGAGCTAGAAATAGCAAATTAGGAGAATCCAAAAGTATTACCATATAGCCCGAGAACTTTATTTGGGTTCATGCTTGAACATTTCAGAAACTTTAAAATGAAATTTTTAAAAATTAGCCGAACTTTGAGCAGATAAAAATGACTGCTGAAGAATTTTAGCAATTATCAAAAAAGCATACATAAGCAACCTACATTGGTTCGAAAATGTAACCACAAGAGAGAAGGGAAAAGTGCATCGAAAGCATTTTGAAACTCATACAAGCCTTCATTGTGCGTGTTCTTATAGTGGTCCGAAAAAACCGACAAAACTTTTGGACAACCTAATAGAAAGATAAAGCTTTGTTCTCATAACAACTATCACGACGCAGTTGTTATCTGTGATCCTTCTATGAAACTCATTGATTCTGCATTTCTGTGAAGATACTGACTGATGAGTCATTATAATATCCTTGTACTCACTGAGTGACACTCAGTGACGTTTGCTATTGTCCCATTGTGCGAACTTACTGTTATAGGGGCCTTCAGGATCGCGAGAGTCGGACGTGCGTACGGCCATTGCGCCGCGCACGTCGTATGTCACTGGGTCGTACTCGATTTAGGCTGAATAGGTGAGATTTTTTTGTTTTTCTTCTCATTTCTCGCCTTCTTTTCTTTTCAGGCGGCGAACATATGTTGGTGCAGAGGAGTTTAAGATCTAGATTAAGGTGAGGTGCAGGATTATGCTCAATACGGGCCAATATTGTGGACTTTTCACCCCTGCTTTGAAAAATGTTGAGTTTTCTGTTCTGGCTGTCCGATTATGTTCGATTTTTCGTCCTGCCTGCCCGGTTACAAAACTCCGTTTTATTTGCAACGTCTGTTCTACCTCATCTTGCATCATGCGCGTCATCACAATCATAATCATTGTCACCATCATCATCATCACAAGCAATATGCAAGATAAGGTAGAATAGACGGTAGAAATAGAACAGTTTGCTGTAACAGGGCAGCCAGGACAGAAAATCCAACATCTCAACCAGCAGGCCTGGAAGATCTGCAATATTGAGTCCGTATTGAGCATGAGTCCTGCACCTCACCTTAATTCAGATCTTAAACTCCTCCGCACCAACATGTGCTCACCGTCTGAAAAGAAAAGAAGGCGTGAAATGTAAGGAAAAACAAAAAAAACTTACCTATCTAGCCTTAATCGACTACGACCCAGCGATATCAGGCGTGCGCGGCGCAAAGGCCGTACGCGCGTCCGACTCTCGCGATCCTGCAGGCCCTATATGCGGTGGAGTTAAGGTTGGATCTTTACACAACTTTGATGGTTTCGCGCTGTATCCTCCATAATGTGTAGACTAACACTTGTGGAGGAAACCCTTGGCGCGTACTGGCGAGATCCGAAAACCTATGATCTACGTTCAGACCTCTTGAAAAAGACGAGCACATTGAAACGTTGGTGGAATAAACGTCCACCAAGAATCCTGGTTTCGGCACAACGATCAATTACTGATAGCTCAAAGTGTTTGTTTATCTTTACTTTGAAGGATTTGCAGATTACATCAAAAAACTGACAAGACTTTGCACCATATACCAGAACAAATTGAAAGCAAGTAAATACTGGATATTTGTCCCTACTGGCGAAAGATCAGGTGCTTTCAACTTACTTTACCCTAAGGTTCAACGAAGAAAATATCAACTGATGTTCAATAACTTTTTTACAGGACTGCAAGGTGGCTTCAGCGATGTCCCTATGAAAACCTTACTTCTAAAAATAGTCATATTTTCAAAAAAAAGATGAAGAAAACTTGACTTACAGCATATTGCAGATATGGATTGAGAATTCTTAGAATGATCAGATACATAAAAACGCTTCATCACATAAAGAATTACTCTCGCAAGTCTCTACAAAGGAAGTTTCAGTCCTTTATATTTTTCGAAGTCTCTGCTTTTCATTATTTTCAGTAAATTATGGCTGGTTTGATTGGTCCTTAGCTGAAGTACTATATTATCAAGTGAATGTGCCCATTTGAAGTTATCGTATCGAAAAAAGCTCGATTCACAATCTGCATCTATCACTTTTTCCAATTTTTGCTCACCTTTATTCATTAAAAAAATGTCCTAAGCTTTCTTTTTGTCTTCTTTCTCTATCTATCATCTTTTCTCCGACCACTATGACTCTGTGAATTCGTGCTTTTTAGGCATTTATCCTTTACTTCTATACCTGTAAAACTCCTGCCCTAGACCCCAGTATTGGCTCATAATTACTTCCCGCTCATGACTCACTTATATTTAGTTGACCTAAACCGCTGCTTTTCACATTTTTGAAGCTTTGATTTTGCGTATCTATCTCCATGCCACTAGCTCAAACACGGAGGAAATGAGGGGTTGAAGCAACATGTGTATGTATGTATGTATGTATGTTTAAAATGGATGGATAGATCGACGATGGACAGTTGGATGCTGTATCACACACCGCTCGGAAGTGGCCTATCACATCATATTCTTTCTTCATTCCACTTCGTAATTTTGAGCACTATGCATACCTTGGCGATAGTATACACCTGATCAAAGCTTCGATAATGCGTGTGAGATCTTCTCAAAAACAGATAACGGTTATCAACAGAGCAATGCGTACTTTTCGTCCTACTCCATCTGTATCCGATATTATAGCAACAAATATTAGGTTGTGTAATAAGTTCTGTCCCATTTTTTCTTTCGATTTTTTCTCAATATTTTGCGCGATGTTTTGCATATTGTTTATATGCACTTGAAAGCTCTAAGCCTTCTCTACTAAAACTTGCTTCTCGGTTTTCTACATCATATGAATTGAAAAAATTTCACAGCGTCAAATTTGGAAAATCAAACAGGAAAAAGTCCATTTTCGACAGCTACGTTACGTTGCCCTCTTAATTAGTCAGAATGCCTACGAATAAACTCGAAAAACTTGCTACACGTAAGCAAAGAATGCTCTAGCTTCTATTGCGCTTTAGAAGTGCTGAAACTTCTCAAAAATCATTTCTACAGACTTTAGAAATTCTTCTTTCAACGCCTTTTCAACGTTGGTGTTGGGCATCATTTGAAGGCATCCTGAGGGAAGAGGTAGGCGGATCATCCAGAAAAGACAGAAGGGATGGTTTGTGGTTTCAAAATTATCGAATTCATAGGTTAAATACTCAGAATTCGAGTTTTGGGAGCCACACAGCTTGGGTACGAGAGACGGCGAACATCGCCGTGACAAAGTCTTGCCTTGCCGACTTTTGAAA